CGAAGGTCAAATTAGTCACCATTTACGACTGAGAAATTCAAGAACAGCCTATTCCTCTCCATCCGTACAGATATTTTAACAGTTTCTTGTGTCCTTTTATTCTTCCGTGAATGTGAGCAGTTTATTACCAAGCTCAATTCTGGGTTTTAACCCAATTATTTAGTCAAAGCGAAGATACACACACAGTTCACATGCACTCAGTTTGCGCAGAGCTGTGTAGACTTCAATAAAATCCTTTGAAGTTGAACGAAGAGTATAACGTTTAGTTCTTTAAGTAATTCGGATCTTTCCTTTGTCTTATGGACGTTAGCGCACCTGGCTAAACCAACACCTGAGTTCTCCCTACCCCGCCCTTTTTCAGGGATTGAACCCAGGCGGGAGAAAAGAGAGTCCAGGCTAACTTGTATGCGCGTCAGTAGAACGTTATTCCCCACTTCCTCTTAAATCAGGAGAAAACCATATTGATTTGGAAGCAGTTTCGAGATTCGTCGATTGAAACGCAAAAAGTTCCTTTTTATCGCAGACTAATGCGTGTGTGCTCCTTTTTTTATCGAGAACTAAAACATTTTCTTCAAAACAACTCACATTTAATTAAAGCTCACGGAAAGGTTTAAAGTTTATAGCTGTTTCACTTTAATGTCGAAAGTAATTCGCACTCGAATCGGTTTTGCATCTCCACGCTCAGCGATTGGCTTAAAAACAAACTACCCTACATGTCATCCAATCACAGGTAAAACCAAAACGAATCGTCACATGTTTTCCCGGGCTTCGCGTCAGTTACGCGTATTCCCATAGAATTTTGATTGGTTCATGGTCAAAATGATTACTTTAATTTTGGTGTTTCGACGCGTAATACGTAGCCTCTCAATTTTACAGGGCTTGAATTTTGTCGAAAGAAAGTAATAGCTGTTAAAGGAAATATTAAAATACCTTTCATGTTTCATGCTTCTTTATTTTGTTTACCATTATCATTCAAATATTAAACAAGTTTTAATAAAAAAAATTTGCAAACAAGAATTAAACACATTGGTTGTACATGTCTTTTTAAGATTGCCTCTCTCAGAAGAAAAGTAGAAGAACTCCAGAAGGAACTTGAACAAGCGCAAAAGGTGACTTAGAACTGAGAGACAAGAAGGGGTTTATTTCCTCATTCAGTGAAAATCCCTTCTCAAAGACCGCTGCCTAGCTTTGATCAAATAATAAGAGGAGAAAATATGGATCATAGACGTCTCTTTTGATGTGACAGAAGTCTTCAAAACATTCTCTGTTCTAACGTCAAAGTTAAGCAAGTTAGTCTGTCTTAGTCTATAATGCCCTTTTGGTTGAGTCTGTTTTCCATAAGATGTTTTACAAAGTAATGGCCACGAGGAGCCCAGCTTTAGTTGCTTTAATTACTGATGGCCCGATTCTCTACGAGAAATGCAGATGGCTCCACCTCATGGACATCATTTCGGCGCTAATGTTAGTTAATTTCAACCAGTTTGACTAAACCCGTAACGGGCTCGTCGGCTGCGGAGGCTAAGTTAATACCGGCAGCCCCTCAAGAAAAACCCCGCTCGAGAAACAAATTAGAGAATTACGTCATAGCTTTGGTATTGTTAATCAATAATTTCTTCATCTTTTTTCTACATTAGATGAAAACTGAGCGCAACGCAATCCTAATCGCTCTAAAACAAGTAGCCTAGTAAAATCCACACATTCTTAAAAGTAAGTTCAATGAAAAAGTGCAGAATTGTTAGCCAGAAACGGGGCTATTAAGTTAACCGACACTTATATAAACATGATGATATTATCTGGCACCTTTTCTGCTTTCATTTAGTAAAGTAAACTTAAATCATGTAAGGTAAACTAAAAGATGACAATACCACTACACCCCACGTATGTTTTGAGACAATCCTTGACAAAAGTGTTGGTACGTTTCCACTATTTCCTTTCTTTTATCCCCTTCCTTCCTTCCCGACAATCTTTTCTACCCACAGAAATTATTCCTAACTGAAGAGAATCTATGAAGGATGCAACAGAAAGCTACTGAAACTGAGATCTCTTACAAAGTCTTAATACCTAATCACGTAAAATACTATGAATAATTGTGAGCGTTCCAGCTATTTTTGTCAAGGATTGTAGATCTCCATTTAGCATACTGCTATGACACAAGTGGTGTCTATTCTCCGATTAAATCATAACCTTATTCGTAAATGCGGAAACGTACGTGAAAGTCTTTGGCCCTACCACAATCCTTTGCATTCTTTGTCTCCATTGCAAATATTATTATATCTCATTGGTTTACAGGACTCGTCCAAAACAGTTCTGACATTGTATGAACTAACTCACTATGGGGGAAACATGAAGGTAAGATTTCCATAGTGCTTATCAAGAGAGGATCAAGGGTAGCTTAATTCATCCCCTATACAGGCGTCATTTCCGAAGTAATGATACCTCGACGTCACTCACAGACCACTCTCGGCGTTGCAAATCGTTGCGGGAACGGGTAGGGACGCTGGAAATAGCCAATGCAGCGGCACTGG